CCTCCCCCCGTGGGCGCAGGCTTCGCAGCTGCTGCCGAGAACAGCGATGGCAGCCATGACTTTTTAAAGAGCCCCTCCCGAGAGCTGGTGGAGCCAGAATGACCTCTCGCGTGAGGTGGAATTTGCCCCTACGAGTCCAAGGCCACCACCCTGGGGCTCAGGGAGGCAAAAGAAGGTTTCGTCCCGCCCCCCCCACGGCATCGCAGTCGAAAGTGGCAGCGACAGCCATAACTTTTTAAAGAGCTCCTAACGAGAGCTGGGAGAGCCAGAATGACCTCTCGCCTGTGATTTCCGAGCGTGTGATTTCTTCTCGGACATCACAGGCGAGATGTGGAATTTGCCCCTACGAGTCCAAGACCATCACCCCGGGGCTCAGGAAGGCAAGGGAACGTCCCCGTCTCCCCCGCCGGCATCACAGCTGCTGCTGAGAACGGCGGCGGCGGCCATAACTTTTTAAAGAGCCCCTCCTGAGATCTGGGGGAGTCAGAATGACCTCTTGTGTGAGGTGGAATTTGCCCCTATGAGTCCAAGGCCACCACCCCGGGGCTCAGGGAGGCAAAAGGTTTCGCTCCACCCCCCACCAGCATCGCAGTCAAGGCAGCGGAGGCCATAACTTTTTAAATAACTCCTAAGGAGAGCTGGGAGAGCCAGAATGACCTCTCGCCTGTGATCCTGTGATTTCCTCTGGACATCACATGCGAGAGGTGGAATGTGCCCCTAGGCGTCCAAGGCCACCACCCCAGGGCTCAGGGAGATGGGACCAACTGATGGCTGGTGGGAGCAGGGGGCGGGGCTTACATGCCCACCCCCTGGGCTCTTGACTGGCAGCGTGCTCCGGTGCTCCTGCACCAACCGAGGCCTGCACCATGAAACTCTCCCCTTCGGCTGGGGGGAGGGGAGGAAGGGCAGTTTGCTTCAACCCTAGACGATGCGCAGGCGCAGCAGGAAACACAACCGGCTGAGCGCGGCCGGCAGAGCGCCTGACGGCGATTTGAGGCCTCGGGGCGACAGACTGCCCTGCCAGACGCGGTTTGAGGCGTGAGGTTGTGGCGGTGGTGGTTGCTTTGCAGGGTTGCATACCAAGAATTTCGCTCTCGACAGAAGCTTTGGCTTTCTTGCCAGTGGCTGCGGGGAGGAAGCGACATTGCAGCTCAAATCTGGGGGCTGCTTAACTGGCGGGCAGGGCGAAGAAACACGTTTCACCTCTTCTAGCCCTCTGCGAATGAGAAGCGCAAGGAGCGGGGGGGGGGGGGTGTCCCTGGGCCTGCGGACCCTGATTACGGAGAGGCTGGAGTTTGCGTCTTACCCCACACACACATAATACATCTGGACAAGCTTTTCAAGGTCTTTCTCGCCGCTGCTCATCTTATCCCCCCCCCTCCGTTTTTATCGGGGCTCAGGACTGGGAGGGTTTTGTTTGGGAGCTGCCTTGCGTGCAGAAGGTCCCAGGGACGATCATGAGCAACATTTCTGACATACACCCACGCAATCTGGTTACTCTCCGCCAGTGAGTCTTTGGTTGCGCAGATACGCAGCACTTCGTGAATGCTGCCACCTTATGGCTGTCTGTGGAAATCTCACCTTGGTCGCATGAAATTGGTCAGAGCTGTGGGCTAGAATTGCTCCTAGTCGAGGAACCTAGACGTGCCGCTGCTGTCTCCTAAGCACTTTCTAGCATCCCCTAAGTGGAGGGAACCAGGCATTTAAAGAGGGGTATTTAAGAATAATAAGCCCGCTCTGCAGGGAGGGTGGGGTATAAATCTGATAATACATAAATAAATAAATAATAAAATAAATAAATTATGCCTGTTGGGGACCATGGCTTCAGCTGGCCCTGAATAGCAAACGATCCAACTCTTGAGGAGCCACCTAATCCTGTAAGCCAGTATAGTATAGTGGCTAGAGTGTTGGCCTGTGACTCAGAAGACCAGGGTTCAAATGCTGGCTTACTATGATTTTTTTTTTTTTTAAATAACCTTTATTAGCATAAAAATACCTTAAAAGAGGATTACTATAAAAGTATACATTTAAAACCATATAGAACCACGCATATAGAGCCAAGCATTTTGCTGACTGCATAATATTGCATAGTGTTGCATAAAACAATTATGCATTGGTAGTTTTCCTGACAGTTTTATCGCTGATTGTAAAAACATGGCTACGTTCATTGATATTTCTGGAACAGAATTGTTTAGAAGACGGTACACTTTTAAAGCATCAGGAAGGTTTGTCATGTTGGCTAAGATAGGATTTAAATATCTAAAATGTAAATCCACATA